AGTGAGGTATATGAGTCCGATAACAATGATGATTTTACATTTGATGAACTCGCATATGAATATAAAAAATTATTGCATAACCATAATAAATTGAAATATAATTTTAAAGATCTAAAAACCAAGCATGTTCAATTAAAATCCAATCATGAGTCCCTTGTATCTAAGTTTGATTTCATTGCAAATGAAAATGTTAATCTTAAAGAATGCAATGAAAAATTAAGATTAGATATTGCAAGTTTGACTCATGATAAGAATAATGCCATATTAGAAGTAGAAGCTAATAAAAATAAATTAGATACTCTTGTTTGCTCTACTTCTTGTGACAATGCACATATTTCAAATGATGAGTTGAATCAAATAAAGAAATGTGTATCATCCTTAGATTCGACATTAAATACATGCATTGTCAACAATAAAAAGCTTATGGACGTGTGTGCAAAGTCCCACAAAAGTGTTTCTAAGTAACCTATTCACTATGCACACATGTATAACAAAACTTATAAGTGTTCTATTTGCGACCGAAAAGGCCATATTGTTAAGTTTTGTTATGATGTACAAAAACCCACCATGCCTAAATATATTGATCCTTGTGCATCCCATCAAGTCACTTCATCTCATACACATGCACATGCACATATTGCACATCATAAACATGCTCATGTGTACAAGTGTGAGTTTTGTGGACGTTTTGGTTATTTGACCAAGTTTTGTTTTGACTTGAAGAAGGTTTCTCATTTGCAAAACAATTTTAAAGAAAATTTTATTTTTACAAATGATTTTCGTGCACAACCAATTGGTCAACACAAATCTTTTAAACCTTTTCATTGTACCTATTGCAACCGAAAAGGACATTTATATGAGTATTGTTTTGACCGTGTCCGTGCACAAAATGTGCCCAAACGGGATCATAACCCTAGGGCTTTAAGCTTTAATGATAGGAGTCATGTCCCTAGACTCTTTGGTACCAAGAGTAATTGGGTACCAAAACATGTTTAATCTTTAAGAACGAATTCCTTAGCTTTTTAGTTTTTCATGTTCTTAAAGATGTTTTTATTTAAGTTTTATAAACAAAATTGAAAACAATTTTATACTTGGTATTTGATTTAAAAAGTTATCATTCATATTTTTTTCATGATTCTCTTTCATAGATTTCATGTTTTCGTCCTTTATGAATTGGTGCAAATTTTATCAAGATTATTTTTCTATAACATCATTCTAGTTAGTACACCTTGTTTTCAATTTTTGAGTTTGAACAATGTGTTTATTGGATCATTTTAAACCTCTCGTATGATGACATTATGTGTTTGAGTTTCCGGATCATCTACTTATGATTTATAATGTATTCCTTATGTGGTTTGATCAAGCTTTACAAAAAGGATTTCTTCTATTGATCAAACACTTTTTTAGATATATACTTTGTTTTGTATTTGCATATGAGAGGTTATATGTTTGAGCAACCCTTCGGGAGGTTTACCGGATGCTAAAAGTTTTTTTTTGGGTTGAAACTTGTTTCAAGAGCTTGTTATGCTCATCTCTCTTGCTGTTGTCAAAAATGATACAATATAAACACTTCAAATTTCTTTTAGTATCATTTGAGGCTTTTATTTGAACCTTCATGAGGTTCATGATTTCATTTTTTTGATTTCATGATCTACTTTTGTTTACATCCAAATAATACTTATGATTGGGTATTGAGACACCTTTTATATGTCTATTTGTGCTCTCAATCAATCATGTTTTATGGTGGATAATTTGTAATTTTTTTAAAATCATTTGATGTTTGATTTTCTTTTAATCTTTTAGGTTTTATGTGTTAGACCCTTGTGACACTTTGTATCAATGATACACATATGAGTGTTCACTTGGTCTTGTATGTGAGTGGTGTTTAGCATACATTTATCTATGCTTGCTCATATTTATTTGCCATGTTCTTAATTGTATATTTTCTATATGGCTTTTTGATAGGGGGAGCCTTCCCCATTTTTTTTTGTTTATACTCACCTATGCTTTATGATAGGGGGAGCTTTCGCTCTCTTATTTTTGTGTTTCCCTATTTTTGATGTTGCCAAAGGGGGAGAAACAAGTCGATTGTGAGTATATTTTAAGAGTATTGTTCTTTATTGTATATTTTATATACTCTTTGTGTAGATTGTTTGTCATCATCAAAAAGGGGAAGATTGTTAGGTCTCATGTTATGAGCCTATATCTTCTAATCTTATTTTGATGATCACAAACAATTCCTAACAATGTGTGTCAAGTGTTTGTATTTGTTTTGTTAGGTAATCTACACAAATATCCAAGTTGGAGGTTGGATGGATTGATCCTACACGATCACATCAAATGGAGCTTGGCGGAATAGTAGAATGAAGCCATTGCACATCAAGTCATATTCAAGATCAAACTTCATCCGCAACCAAGACGAGCATATTAAAGATCCATCTAGCATTGGTATATTAGTTATTTTAATTTGTAGCGTATATTGTGTGAATATATTTTAAGCTCAATATATATATACACACACACAATTTTGTTTTTATTACAAAATGAGTTTATTTGAGAAAACAATGCAATATTGGTTTATTAATCTTGTTTACATCACATTCATGTTTTATAACATTTATAAAAACATTTCATAAAGTTTCCACATGTTCTTTCATGTCAAACTTCATTTTCAAGATTCATCAAAAACATGTATTATGTATATTTTTGATAAACGTTTAGTTTACACAAATATGAGGACCTTTTCACAAAATTCCTTTTCAAATAAGTTTGTCAAAATGTTTATAAACTGTTTACAAAGTTTCATATTTTTTGGTATTTATTTACTATTTTTTACAGAGCCTTGAAACTCTATTTCAAAATTGATTCAAGCTGATAACATGTTATCTGTCGACTGACCAGTCGACTGATGAAGTCAGTCGACCGATGTGTTGACTGATGAAAGTGCCTGGAATCATCATTTTTCTCTCTGTTCTGTTTCGGTCGACTGACCAGTTGACTGACGAGATCGTTAGTCGACTGAAATGATCATCAGTCAACTGATGAGTTAGATATCGTATACAACGTTTAGCTCATCAGTCGACTGATGCTTCCCGTCAGTCAACTGATGGTCTGTAACGGCTATTTTTCCAGTTTCCGTTTTTTTATCATTTTGCTGGATTTCACTTAGGATTTGAGCTTTGTTTCTTCATCCTATATATACCCTATACCATTTCACTTCTGAACTATTAAGAGAAGTTTTAAAACAAGTTTAAAAAGAGTTTTAGTTTGTTTTAAGTGTTTATTTACAAAATAAGTTTTGTGAACATTGTTTTACAAGAAGAGGAGATCAATTTTAGTTTGGGCTTTTAATCATCTTATCCCTCTCTCTTGTGATTAGAGAAGTGTTTCTAAACTCATATCTCTAGCTTGTTTATGCTTCAATTGTTATATTCATATTTGCTAGATTTAATTGAGTTTATATTTGATTTTTCTCATTGCTTGCACACACAACCATTGAGCTTAACATTTTTCTCATTGCTTGCACACACAACCATTGAGCTTAACTATTTTTACATATTGTGTAATTTGGGGTTGTGGTTAGTGTAACCTTGAGAGTGAGCTTATATTGAGTTGTCACCTATTGTAGAGAACATTTTATTGTATTGTACTTAATTATGAGTTACACGTTATATCACACTTGTACACCGAGAGGAGTGTGTGGTGAGACCAACACCGAGAGGAGTAGCGTCGGTTGTAATGCCTATAGGTAGGTCGTAATTCCAAGCACTTGAGGGAAACACGAGCTAGAGACCAACACTTAGTGGGTGTAGAGTGTGATTGCAATTATGTGTGTTGTAAAGTTTTCGGTGAACTAGAAAACCAAATTGTGAGGTATAAATATTGTTCGGGTGAGCATAGAAAACCCAAATGTGATAGTGGATTTCTCCTCGGGAGTGGGGAGCGGAGACGTAGGACGGAAGGTCTGAACTCCGTGATCATCTTTATGTGTTAGAGTTTTCATTAGCGTATCATTCGTGTCTATTGCTTAGTCTATCTTATTCGCCATTGCTCATTGTTTATATTGACCTATCATATTTGTTTTTGCTTATCCTTGCATACAACTGATTGTGTATCTCATTGTTAGGATATTGTACTTTGTTTATATTGCTTATTCTTGCTCATATCACATTGTATATCTATCTTGCAAGAATAATTTGTTAATAAGTTTTAATTGGCATTAATATCTAATAAGTTTAGCAATAACCCTATTCACCCTCCTCTAGGGTACTTTCATTCATGCGTCGACTCATCATGTATGGGTCGACGACTCATCATGCATAGGTCGACTCATAAAGTCATGGGTCGACTCAGTAGAAACAAAACACACTTTCCAGCACAGTTTGTGAGTCGACTTATGACAGGTATGAGTCGACTCAACCTGATGGGTCGACTCATGATGTTATGAGTCGACTCGTCAGAAACAAAATGTAAACTACAAGATAGTTTATGAGTCGAATCAACACTGTTCATGAGTCGACTCAAGACATGCACACTGCATGTTTTACATAGAAATCTGATTTTCAAACCTCTTTTAAAAATAACAAATAAAATTAGAAAAATGTAAAACTTTAGGAAATGATTGTAAACACATGAGTTTTGACATTTTAGCTTAACCATGTTTTGAAACATTACAAAATGATTTTATAGACTTAATAAAAGATGTATATGATTATTGTTAAGTCCAAAATCTAAGAATATAATATTTTCACAAAATTACATATTTTGCAAACTTTTCAAAAATAATAAATATGATTTTATTGAACTAAATAAAATTGATATTGATAAAATCATATATATGCATATAAGTATGAAACAAGAAATGTATTTTCAATTGTATTCAATTGTTTCATATTAAAACTTGAAAACTATTAAACCAAAACATATATGTATATATATAACTCACTGTCACAGAGAATTGGACAGTTTCTTACATAATTCAAAATTCTCAATGGAATATCATGTTACCTTGTCTTATGCCTGTGGTGAATGCAATAACTGAAATTCCAATTTCTGGACAAAAAGATCAATGGGTTTGGCTACCTGCTATTAGTGGTAATTTCTCTTTTGCTTCGGCTTGGGATCAAGTTAGGACTCCCTACAATATGTTTGAGCTTTACAATGTGATTTGGTTCCCTTCAGCAAATCCTAAAATGGCCTGTTGTTTGATTAAAAGTCTATACAATAGACTGGCTACTAGAGACAGGCTTTCAAAATTTGGGATCTCCTCAGTGGAAGATTGTGTTCTTTGTATTGGTGAGAAGGAAACTAGAGACCATCTTTTCTTTCAATGCCCATTTACAGCTTTTATTTGGAAACTTTGTAAATTAAAATTGCAGTTGGATATTACTGTTATTCAAGACCTTAGAACTGAAGCGCTGCACATTCAACAGAAATTCAAGGTGAAGGATAGAACATACAAACTGGCAAGATTGGTTTTAAGTGCTACTTTGTGGCATATCTGGCAAGAAAGAAATCGTCGAATTTTTCACAATCAACGGATGCATAAGATTTCGGTGTTTAGGAGACTTTATGAGGATATAAATGTTCTGCTGAGAACCTGTAACTGGAAGGCTGGAAATGAGGTTGTTCTAGCCAATTGGAGTCTTGAATCCAATAAGTCGTGTAAACAGTGATCTCTCTTAGTGCGTTCGAGTTTTGTTTGTGTAAGGGGCAGTACTATCTTTCTTTTTTGCTTTGGTTTTGGGTCATACTGATTTTTTTTTCTTTAGTTTCTTTAGTTGAGGGTGACGGCCAGAGTCCTCTCCCCTCTCTGGAGTTCCTAAAGTTGGATTTTCAGTGTTACCTAGCCAATTGATGTAAATATGTACTAGCGTTATGATATTAATGAAATTACTTATCTTTCAAAAAAAACTATATATATATATATAGAAACCACAATTAAAGTGTGTATATATATATAACTACATATTATATATATATATATATATATATACACAAAGAAACCAATAAAATATGTGTGTGTATATGATTGAGCTTAAAGTATATAACACACATAATATAAACTCCTAAACTAAATTACCCAAGCTATAGGTCTTCAATAAGCTCGACTTAGTACACTTGCGGATGAAGCTTGAACTTGAATCTTTAACTTGAATTGCTTTGCTTCACTCCACTATTTCCACCAACCTCCATTTGATATGATCAATATGGCACAATTTCATCCAACCTCCAACTTGTTATTTGTCTATAATAAATAGATAAGCACAAACACTAGACAAACAACATTAGTGATAAATTGTTTGTTAAACATCATCAAAACAAAGAGGCCAACATACCCATCCACATTTTCTATTTTTCATTCATTCTTAATGCAAGCTAAGAAATTATTCATGAACTTCTTGGCATCATTAAGGTATTTAATGTATGTGAGTGATGAATAGTGATAAAAAATTTTCTCAGACTTAATCAATTCCAACATATACCAGTGACTACTGCTAAGAATATGAAAAATAATTTTCTCACATTCTTCAAAGCCTGCATGTGGAAGTTACCAACCCTTGAGTTGTCTCGCCTAATGACCAGAATTATCTTGTAGTAATGCTCTTTGTTAAAATATGACCATAATATTTAACCAAAAAATAATCTAAATGAAAGAAAAATTTCCTAATACTCACAACCAAAAATGATCATGTGTTGTGTATGTATTTTGGGCATGCTTCTATTTCAATATTAATTTTAAATCTCTCTATCATACCATTGACTAACTGAAAATTATGCATGATAAAATGATTATAACTAAAATATGAAAATATGCAAAAACTATTAAGGCTTGGGAACTTACACATCTTCAACTAGCTCTCCCGCAATTATCTCACCTTGTTTTTCCTTCCTCTTGGAATTGGAACCATGATTATATTTATTTTCACTAACATTCTACTCTTTCTCACTTCTTTCTTTATCTTTAGTATTCTCTTCATGACTTTGTACTCCTTGTTCATCTCTATTACCCTCATCATCATCATCCTCATTCTCCCTGTCATTTGTATCATCGTCATCCTCATCCTCCCCATCATTTGTATCATCACCATCCTCCTCGTCTCTCTCATCCTCTCCATCTTCCTCTTCACTCTTATCTTCTTAACTTTCATCTTTCTCTTCACTTTCATCCTCGGATTCATTGCCGCCGTTACCCCCACCACTCAACTTCTTCTCTAACTCAATGAGCTCACGATACTCCTCCCCGTTTTCTATGAGCAACTCCCACTCTTGAAGTAATGTCAACGCCTACAAATACAACACCATGAAAGAGTTAGCATTCAAGAAAGATATAATACATTGATAGCAACAAGACAATAACAGAAAAAAGAAGTGTATATACAGGTTGATGAAATGATACACTAGGAATAGATGATATAGTGCTTTGACCAGTGAGATTCCTAATACACTTCGGATTTTCAATTAACCTGATCATGGCTTGTGACCAAAAGAGTCGAGACTTTCTCTCAATAAAAATGGGTTGTAAGATTTTCTCGACCATTCCACACTTTAGCTCCCCCACTATTTTATAAAACCAAACCTGAAAAAAAAACAAATTTAGTTATAGTTATCAATAAGTAAAAAGAAAACTAGATAGTCTCATTAAAACTCACCACCAATACAGATGCAAACTTACCCATGTACCCGGCTCATTTCCCCTCTCCTACGGCTCGCTTTGAAATGGATAAGTTTGCCTTCGTCTTCTACTTATGTAGCACATCATACCCTGCACCGACCTAATTGTAGTTATAAAGAGCAAATAAATTGTCCGCATATATAAATGCCCATAATGGACATGAGTTAGCAGGCTAAGGGCATAACATAAATTCGATAGTAAAGGCCACAAGTATTTTTACACACTCTATACGGTTGGAGTCTGCCAACTCCATAATCAAATCAGACATCCTCTTGAGTGTGCCCCACACTTTCTTTTTATCCTTCTCCTCAACTTTCCTTTTCTTTCTCCTACTAGCCTTCTTCTCCTCCTCCTTCTCTATTTGTGTCTTTTTACAATACACATGCTCAGTATATATAGTATTAGATACTCGACCATTCATTGTAACCCTATTTTCACTCTTAGGCAATCCGGTTATTTCATGCACATCATAAACACTATAAACACAAAATCTTCTCCCCCAATCCTAAATGAGCTATGCTCTAGATTAAATGCATGAAGCAAGCAATCGACTGCAACTTGTTCATTAGGTATAGCATGTAGATTAATGAAGTGGAAAAAAAGGGTTTGACGAAGGGCTTCGTAATGATTATCATTTAGCAAAGACCTTAAACAGTTATTTACCAAATCACGAAATACCCCAATATTTGAAGGCATTCTTAACTGTGACAATATTTTTCCTACAAAAAGAATATATTAGTCAAAATGAATGGGTCTAATAAACGTAAAAAATTAAGAGATCATGTGAAAAGCAAAGTGATAACAAATGTGGGCTCAACAAGTTATGGCTAGTCATGGCAACTGTGAACAAGAATTTCTTAGAATGCACCAAGGAAAAGAAAATCTTCCATTTCACTGATTCATTGAGAGCCAAATGAAATTGGTCTTTATATCATAGTAGTTAGAACAGTTGACATAAAAGGTAATATTGCATGACTCATTACAACGATGGGCTAATTATGGATATAGGCATGAACATAGAAGACTGTCAATAGACCATTAACTTCCGATAGTATCAGATCACTGGAAAAGTTGCACACAAGTAATAAGTTAAAGACTCACCAACAACAGTCATGCATTCGCTTTTCCCCTCAGGGAGAAAATCACAAGATGGCGTGTCGAAATTCAAGAGATTCAACCACTGACCTTTGAAGCGTGCTTTTACTTTTGATCTTTAGTAAGTAATATTCTTTAGTTGCAATTATGAGTAAATCTCTATTAGAAATTCACCAAAAGAGAAAAAAAAAACTATATAAGCTTCCATCCACTGGTGTTATACTGTGTGATATAGAGTGTTTTCAAAGAAGTTCCTATTCTTGAACATGTACTCGATAAGAGCCGCCCCACTGCTCCTTGGATACAAAAAGGAAATTCATGAACTGACTTTTACTTACATTCTTTGATACTCCACAAGCGTCATAATATGGATTAATGGATAGCATGTCCACATCTTATATTATTTACTTTCCAAGTTAAAAACTATATAATTTGCAAAAACATAATAAATAATATAATTATATGAGAAATGATATATTTAAAATAAAGAAGGTGTTAATTAAGTTCCTAAATTGAAATTTTAAAGACGAAATAGGGATTTATCATCTATATCCATTTGCTCAAATTAATATAAATCAATATTTGCAAAAATATTAACTGTTCGGTATTGATAGTCAATAATAGGATTTTATTTGGGTTTGTACTTTATTTTCTTGACACAGTCGCTTATTCATGTTTGGGATTTGGATCTCCTCCAACAAGATACATGCAAGTGAAATTAATTGTTGAATATTGATAGTCAATAATAGATCATTAAAGAATATCAATACATTAATCTTTATTTAATGTGACAACTAACTAATTTTATAAATAATATGATCTATTTTAAAAATGTAAGAAAATCATTCTAATATTAACATATCAAAACTATTGTATATAATAGTATACGTCTAACGATAATGGGAACATGATTACTAAAACACAAGAAACATATGACATTGAGTTTTCCAATTCAATGTAACAGGCCTATCTTTCACAAAGAAACCAAGCATTCAAAGAAATTAATAAAATTCATGCGATGATATTAATTTTAGAGAAATTAATAAAATTTACTTATGAAGTAACATTAGTCTTCGATTGGGAAGAACCCCTCGATTTACTTCTGCTAGACATCTCCGACAACCTATCAACAAGAATTTCAAAATATATAAAATAATTATTATGAATCTCCCAGCCGTAGGCTCGGTTCCTTTATAAATCAGAAAAATAATTATTAACCATCAAATTTACCTAAAAATTGCTCTGCGACAGTGGTCTTTTCTCCTTCGCTTAAGAGTTGAACTTGCCTCGTCGTGATGCACCAAAATTAAGAGGGGCGGAGATGTGTGATGCTAAAATAAGAGTGAGATGGTGCGTTTATGCAAACTAGAAAGATTAAGGGCAAGTATTTTCTAGGATTTTGAGATCGATCTGGGGGTTTTGAGGTTTGAGAATCGCTCTTAGGGCTCTATAGGGATCGGCTCTATTTGGAAAAGTGAAACAGGGGAGAGAGAGAGGGAAAGACTGGTTTTGTTTGGGGATGAAGGGTAGTTTAGGAATTTTTAATTTATTGGGTAAGTATGGTATAAATAATGAGTGTATTATACATATTGGGTTTATAAATAAGTGGAATGAGATACATTGGGTGTATTTATGTTTGGAAAAGTGGTGAGTTTTTAAATAAGTTGGGGGTAAAACTTTGGGTTAAAAGAGAAAAACCCATTTTCTAAAAGGTGATTCTCTTCTATCTTTCGTGCTCCTTCATTTTGAATTTTCTTGCGATTAAAGGTTTTTTTTTCTTTTCATGTACAAGACTTTTCTTGTGACTAAATGTTTTTTTACCACTTTGCATGTACAAGACTTTTCTTGTGACTAAAGGTTTTTTTAGCGCTTTGCATGTACAACATATAGGTGATGCATGATTGC